ATCATTGTACTTCGTTCAGTTACGTATTATTGTATGGGGGGCTATTTATTAATGAAATCTCTGATGAAATAGCTGTTATTTTTAATTCTTTTAGAACCTCATAAACTCTGGTCATTCTTTGAATATTTGGACCCATAGTTTCGCACTTTTTGAAGAATTAAAAGAATATTCCTAAAAAAATCGTCATATTTAGAAATACAATTCACCTTTGATGGTAAGTGAAATATGAAAATCATAATATTTCATTTTATAGATCTCTCACATTTTAGGTTAGAAATTCAGATATAATTTTCAGTTTACTATCTGATCCAAATCAACCAAAATTAATGATTGAACAAATGGGTATAGAACATTTAAAAGACAAAGGATATGTTGAGATGACCATTATGGCCCCAGAGAGATCGAGAGAGATTTCAGGGCTTGTTACAAAGGGAGGGGGCACTTATTTGGAAGCTATGGTTAATATTTTTTTGCTGCTAAATATTATTATAATAGTATTTTTATATTTTTACATTTACAGAACATAGGAGGAAGCAGTAGCTATGCAGGATCAAAAGATTTGTATAACGAGTGTCAGTCTTGTTTTAAAGCTATAGTAAATGTAAACATACATACATAGACCAAAATGCAACAAGTTTAGATTGGAAAGCCATTAAATTTTAGGTCGCGACCGTTATACGCGATCTGGCGCTGCTATAGCGGTCGCTAAGAACAACGGCAAACAAAAACAGAAATAATTTTTCTCTTGTCAAAGGTAGAATCTTCAAAATCATAATAATCTTTCAAAATCTAAACCGCTCTCATTGAAAGGGAAATTAAAAGAAAGTGTTTATAACATCCATTTTCAAAGTAATTATTGCTATCTTTGTGAGTTTAATTCTTGTTAATGCCCAAGTTTCATTTATAACCGAGTAATAATTGTAGAAAAATTGGCATTTCAAAACTTAAGAAATGTGAACTGTGAACTGCAAAAAACCATCGTGGATAACGTCGGTTTCCAATGTTTCATAGGTATTTCATATACGCGTCCTTATATAAAAATAAAGTTTCTTGTACACTGTATTTTATTTATAAAATTAAAACAGAAATACAACAATAGTTGAGATAAAGCAATATTTGGCGATATAATTTCGGAAAAGGCCGAACCGCTCAAAATTTTCAAAAGTTTTGGGGTCGCGACAGTGCAGAATAGCGCCAAATAGTGTTTGTCCTTATGGGCACTTTCCAATCTAAACTTGTTTCATTTATCTATGCATACATACTGGTTTAATATATCTTTTTATATTAATATATAAATTAAATCTGGTTTGTAGAAGAGTGAGTTACTAGGTGATGATAAAAGTGTTGGTACTGGTTGCATGGCCTACTTAAATATGAAGATACTGAGAGGAATTTTTCTTACGGGGGTTACTGAAGGTTTTGCTATGGCTGATAAATGTAACATTCCACTGGAACACTTTAGTCGTTTTTTTGAAATTACAGGCTTGTCTAATAATTATTTAAAAGGTAATTAGATATACTGGGTGTTTCAAATTCGATACTCACTATTGGGATTGGGATCTAGCAAAAGGTAAGAGATACAGAGTGGCTTAAATTGAGGCAATGTTGCCTGTTAGTGAGCCTAATGGTAATCTGTTTAATAATTGAACCTATCTTTGTTATATTCGGAAATATGACGAAGTAAATGAAATTTCCTGTTGTCTTTTTTATTTTTTACTAGATTATTTTGACAGTTATATACACTGTTAGCGATAAGCTTCGCGTCCGCTACAAGAACAGCGCCAGATAGTATTTACATTATCCTTATGCGCACTTTCTAATCTAACCTTGTTTCATTTATCTATGAAATAAAGTTTGTCAGAAACTAAGTAAATTAAATGTAATATATTTCTAAGGAAACTGGAAAACTGTAAAAGGCGATAAGAAATTCAGGTGTGGAGTATGGACGACGTCCGTTTGTGAGATATTTGTATTAGGTTGTCAATTTGAATAATTATTAAAGTCAGGAGTGAAGCATATGTAGGGGATAAGATATAAGATCCTGTATTAGAATCCATTTAAATTTTTAAAGAATTTAACAAGTTAATAAAAATAATAAAGTTATAATAAATAAAGAATTTAACAATTTAACTTATTTATCAAGCTCAAATACATGGCTTGCTGGATTTGTAAACTCGGCAGTTGGAAGTTTAGTTGAGGTTCAAAATGTTCAGTACTATGAAATGAACGCGCGCATTTATAAAGTCAGTTCGCTGAACAGTTGGCAGTTTGTTTTACGTTCAACGGAGTTCGGCGATGGTAAATATTTAAGTCGGCAGTTCACGACTTTTTTTACAACCAAAACTGACAGTTTATAAATGCAAAAATATTGAACCTCAACATTAGTGTTGGGAAAAATCGGATAATTTCAATCCTCGAGTATTTATCCTCGAGGATTCCAATAATCGGATGATTATCCGAGGAATCCTCGGTCATAAAATTTTCTCTGTATAATATCTCGAGCGAAACCTGAATAAATACCCGCCGCTGGGTGTGAGTGATTTGTCTTGCTGTTTTTAACACGTGAAACTTTCTCCCCGGCGATTCAAGACATTGCGGTATATTAAAAGGTATATAGAAAAGGCACCATGACATTGTGACATGACCATGACATTGTGACATGACCATGACATTGTGACATGACCATGACATTGTATTTACATTCATGGTAATAGAACCATATACCGGTGTCTCAAAATGCTCATCCCTATAACTTTTTTATTTTTTTCAGATAAAAACGATTTGCATGTTAGTATATTATTTATATTAGTCATTTTAGCATTGAAATGACTACAACTTTATTTTTAAATGGCACCCTCGGTATTTTTTTACTTTATTCGATAGAAAATGACATTCTGAATCGAATGACATATCATATGTCAATTTTTGACATAGTCGCTCAAAAACAAATTCTATTTTAAATTTCGATCTAGAGTGCCATGGCTGTGTTAAAAACACTAATTTTTAAGCAAGGAGCCTTGGAAAAATAGAGTTGATCGTCTAATGTTTTTAGTGTCTTGTCCTGGCCGGTTAAAAGATGCCCTAATCGTATTTTTAATCATATCTCAATTTTTTCAAATGGAATGAGGGTGGCTTATTAGCATATTTCGAAAAAGCATTTTTTTACGAATAATTTGATACCACACACTTGGTATTTTGAGTCAAATTGTCGTTGTGAACCGCATGTTACAATTTCAAATAAGCCATACTCGAAAATGTCAAAACACATATGGGATGGATGGGTGCCATTTAAAATCAAGTTGTAGTCATTTCCGGTGAAACAGGGAAGTGTTATAACCCGTTGGTTGAAAAGGTAAGGTTGTTCCCCAGAACTTTTGGGAATTAATAGGAGCGAAGTAAATCATCCCTCTGAATGATAGAACGTAAAAAAATCATAACAAAAGGAATAGGAAAATAAAATGCAACCGACAAAGAGAGATAATGGACAATACAATAAAGAAAACATTTCACATCAAACAAACTGGAAACTATTGAGCCATACACCATAAATAATAAAGTACACAATTAATATCGAGCGGTGTCATTCCTATGACGTGTGATATCGTTTTCGATACTTATGATCGGAGTTACGAGTATGGCTGTACTGCTGTGCCTCCAAGCGAGAGACAACCTTAAATAACCTTGCAGACTCACTCCTAATTTATGTCATATACTAGCATACCAAATCTCTATTTTTTTTTCTAAAAAAAATAAAAAGTTATAGATGAGCCACATTTGAGACGGCATGTATTTCATTATTATTATCAACATTACATATATATCATTTCGTCAGACCTGTCGAATCTAATGTTTATAGTTACTAAACTTTGATATTTTTTGTATTTTAGTTTGGCAATGTTATATATGTCATAAACAAAACAAGTTTGAATGCACACATTTAAGAAAAAACACTAAATGTATGCGTTCTACTCGTATATTTAAATAAGTTATGATCGTGTTATGGTTATCCAAGCGTGTTTACTAATGCCTATATGATTTCCATTACCACTATTGTTTTAAAATATCGAATAATAAAGTTTCAATTCAAGGTTTTGAAAATATATATCAAAACATATTTTGAGATCTTTTTTCATAAATTTATCGATCATTCTAATAAATAATTTTTGTAAGATGAACAATTTTATAAGATTTGGTATTTGTAGTGTAGTTTTGCACACACGTCCAGAAACCCCCAAAAAAATAATAGTATACAGACTAGATCAAAAGAGCAACTTAAATCAAGTGTCGATTCTAGTAAAATTCAAAATTTTGGATATAATTATTTTATTTTATTTATGGTGGGATATTTTATACTCTGTAGGTATGTTACCTGTTATTACCTTCTTCGTGAGAATAAAAAGAGCATATTTTAAAGTTACTTTTTGATCTACACTGTATAATCTTTTCTTTTTTTTTTACAATGTGTGAAAACTCTACTAATTTTGAAGAACTGCGGGCATGGATCTCGGTATTCAGGATATCAAACACGATCTAATTCGATAAAGTTTATTATTGAATTCTGAAAAATAAATGTGAAATGAGAACTTATCTGCGCTACGTCTATTAACATACTCTTGTGACAGGTAACTAAAGGAGGGTTCACACCTATTATACATATAATTGTGTTACAGCTATAAGAATTTGTATACATCAACACTAATTACTCTACTTTTTATATTAATATAATGATAAATCATACTTCTATGCTTATATTTATGTGGTAGTTTTTTAAAGCTTAAAAAATTATAGCAATGTTAAAGTGAGGAGCATGTAATCGGAGATTAATATATTTAACAGAAATTGATATTTAAAATGTAATTCTAAATCGAAGACAAACAATGTCTTCTGGGCCGAAATCAATCTCTTATTCAATCGGTTTCCAAAGCCTACTACTTCCTGCTACTGCAAACATCATCAGCGGACACGGGTGCAGGCACGACGTGAAAACACCGCCTATCATAAGGATCATAGAAACATAAATATTCGGCCATTCCTGACTTATGAGTGTCCCTCACCCTCTGAATCACACTAAAAGGACATAAATAACCAGAACCTTTTAAAATGGCATTTTTAAATGCTGAAATAAAATATTTATTAGCTTGTTTGCTGCTGGAGCCACCTTTATTTCAGCTAATTGCTACCATATTACATCACACTAAAAGGACAAAAATAATCAGAATCGTTTTTAAAGGCAAACATTTTTAAATGCTGAAATAAAAATATATGTTAGATTGATTGCTGCTGATACTAGACAATTGATACAAAACCAATTGACAAAACCTTATCAACCAATTGTTACCATTATTACAACACACTAAAAGGAGAAACATAATCAGAATCGTTTAAAGGACATTTTTTAAATGCTGAAATAAAAATATATGTTAGATTGTTTGCTGCTGATATTGGACAATTGATACAAAACCAATTGACAAAACCTTATCAGCTAATTGTTACCATTGTTACATCACTCTAAAAGGAGAAACATAATCAGAATCGTTTAGAGGACATTTTTTAAAAGCTGAAATAAAAATATCGTTAGATTGTTCACTGCTCATACTGGAGCTACGTCTTATTTGCTACTTAAATAAATAAAAGTAAAATATCATAACTCACTCAGAAACAATACTCAAAAACTCATGATGGACAAATAAATTATTCAGGGACTAAAGAAAATTTCAAAAGGTAAAATAAACGAATTACTTATTATATATTGGTGTTACACGCAATCTGCAGCTTGCGTGCAACAAAATAAAGTTAAATTTCAACTCTAAAATCTTAAACCTAAATTCTAAAATATAAATCTAACTATGCGCCCACGCCTATTTCAGCCACTGGAAAAGAGAGCAATCCGGGTCGAACTAAAGTCTGTCTAACGAGAAGATCCTTGACAGTGATAGATGTGTCTGTCATTTTAATTTCAGAGTAGTTTATTTTATTTTACAAAGAAATAAGTTGGTACAACTGGAACGCATAGCAGGAAATTAATAAAGTCTGTCCAACGAGAAGATCCTTGACAGTGATAGATGTGTCTGTCATTTTAATTTCAGAGTAGTTTATTTTATTTTACAAAGAAATAAGTTGGTACAACTGGAACGCATAGCAGGAAATTAATATATATATTTAAAATTTGACTGACAAGTAACTTCAAAATATTGTGAAAAAAACTGTATAAAACTGAAAAAATGTAATCGAGTTATCTTATTTAATAAAAAAAGGTATGTGTTAATACAAAACAAACAAAAACAAGACACCACATACCAAAAAATATAAAAAAGAATTATTTCTTACTTTCAAGCTTTATGAAACTTCCCGCATTTATGATTATATTTATCAATATAACATATTACAAATACAAATTTGTAATATTCCGCAGGAATAAATATTTTATTAATAATAACACTTACCAAATTTTATACCTCACAGGTTGATTAATTAACTTTAATCTTAATTTTTTTAAACCAGTACCT